CACCGCTTCCTGTTGCCACCACCCCAGGTCCGGCCTACAACCCAGTTTCTCTGTGCAAAAATAAATGAAATGCCTTAGAATGAGATGCTCTGTTGGGTAGGGTAGGTTGAGAGAATGTTTTTAGTCAATCATTTTACCATTAGTATCTATTTGCCTTTTTAGGTAGTGGGTACTCAGTGAATATCCATGGGGTTAATATGTCCAGAATTTAGATTACTTTGCTTTGGAGATTGAAGTCTGATGATAATTTCCAGATTCTCTAGAGTTTTACTGTCTGATACTGTAGCTTACTAGCCACATGTGACTTTTTCCTTCAAGATTTAATAAATAGGGCCCTCCCTGGTGGCAAAACAGGTTAGGGTGCAACAGGTTAGGATGCAGCACTGCAAGCTAACGGCAGCCATTTCAGTTTAGTTCGATTCCAGGCCCCAGAGCTGATCCACATGGCACAGCAGACCTCTCCTGACTCACCCACTGCTCCCCTCAGCAGTGTATTTCATTCAATCTGCTTGCTCTGCTTCCCGCTCTGTCTCTGGTGAAGCCTCTCACCACCCCTGCACCTCTGGCTCATACCTCAATTTTGTATGAATGAATAAATAAATCTTTTAAAAAATTTTTTAAATAACTAAAAATTTTAGAGTTATTGGGGCTTCCCTGGTGGTGCCACGAGTTGAAGCTATCGCAGCCACTGAAGCACAGAATTGGATCCCCAACCAGGGAGGTGATGACCCACATGGTGTGGCTCCTGGCTTGCTCGCTTCTTCCCTCAACAGTATTTCACTCAGTCTGCTTGTTCTGCTTCTCACTCTGTCTCTGGTGAATCCTCTCACACACACCCCCCCCACACACACCTGTAGCCTTTACCCCAGTTCTGTAGGTATAAAAAATTTTTCAGAGTTAATGTAAAATTTTCAGTGGTTATGTAGTGTATACATAAGGTATGGCTGTACTACCTACTTGCACTAGTTCCACCAATTGTAGAACAGTTTCATTTCCCCCAAAAGAAGCTCCATTAGCAGCAGATCCTTCTCATTTCCTCTTTCATCCCTCCCTAGCAATGAATAATCTGCTTTCTATGTGGATTACCTATCATGAGTGGCTTCTGAACATTTGAAAAGTGGCAAGTATTAATTGAAATGTGCTATAATTATAAATTACACACTGGGTTTATAAGACATTTTAAAATAAAATATAAAAAATTATTTTGATTTTCTATAAAATGACATTTTTGTATATAGAACATATGTACATTGTTTAAGGTCTTTTACTTTTTAAAATGTGACTATAGAATATTTAAAGCACATTTTTTGTTAATATTATGTGTTTTCTTGGATAGCACTTGGTCTAGTTCTTGGATAAAACTTGATTTTACATGGGACTGTGTGTTCCCATGGCCTTAGTTCATTTATTCTTCTAAATCACTTAGATTTAATAGCAACCCTATTGGGGAGTATGGAATGCCCCAAGCTTGAGAATTTTCTTTTTTCTTAGCCAGTTTGTATGTGGATATCTTTCTTACTTAGGCTTTAGAATAGTAGGGAAATTATGTCACTTATATTTAATTTTGAAAAGATAGTGGCAACTGTTAAGCTTCTCAAGTCTCATTTTCAGCAAATTATGATAATGATATTTATTTGTATGATAATGATAAGCCCCTAAATTTTGATAGCTGTGATTTGACTGAGGAACAAATTGTTTCTTTGTGACACTTCTATAACTTTCGGGGTCATTTATGTTTGTCTTGTCTTGGTAAATTATTTTTCAAAAATACAGTGTTTTCTTTAGGTGTAGGTTTTCTGCTACCTCATCATAATATGTAAAACGGCTACTGCGTGTTCAGCATTTACTGTGTGGTGGGCATTATTCTGTATTTGTAGTTACTTGTTACATTCCCTCATGAACTGTACATGGTAGTTACTATGACAGTCTCCCACTAGACAGAGGGTAACACTGAGGCATAGTGGCTAACTAACTTGCTCAAGGTTAAATGATGACTACATTGTAGTAAGCAGGTAAAACAGTAATTTATTTAGTGCTCATTTGGTAAAAATTTTTCAATTTTCAAGTTTTTCCCCACAGAATATAATAAGCTCTACATGAGACTAAGTTTTGCTTACTAATAGTTGAGATTGCTTTCTGGTTTATTTGAAAGAATTTGATGATGATGATGATATAAATTCACCAATAGACATGGCTTGCTTGTTTGCAAGAATGTTCACTTGGTTCTCTAATTATTTAGAAGGTCCACCTCTTCCCTTTTTGTGTGTCAGAGATGCATTGAAACCACATGAGAAAATCAGAAAAACCAAGACTATCAGAGGTCCCACTGGTGGTTAGCTGAGTTGGGAAAGGTATAAAAAAAAATAACTTTGCAACTGCCCTAATGAAAATGTAGTGCAGTGATAGCACAGTTTTTCAGGCTTTATGTGGAAGCCTCAGCCTCCCCGTTGTTATTAAAATGAATAATGTATTGTTTTGTTATTTATTTTTAGAAATTACAGTTCTATTCTTAGACTAGGAGCAGAACTATAAAATAGACTTTATGAAAAAGGACTTTGAAATCATAGATGCTTTTTAACTTTAAATTGTTAAGGGAAGGATAACTTTGCTAATTCTATCTAAGCAATTCTCTGAATTCAGAGATACATGTTTTTAATTTAAAATAATAAAATTGAGGGCCCCAGGAAGTGACCCACATGGTGCAGCAGACCTCTCCTGTCTCGCCTGCTGTCCCCCTCAGCAATGTACTTCCTCAATTTGCCTATTCTGCCCCCCACTATGACTATGATGAATCTTCTCACTGCCCCTGCAGTGACCTATACCCCAGTTCTGTATGCATAAATAAACAAATCTTTTAAAATAATAATAATAATAAAATTGAGTGTTGTTAAATGAACTACTGAATTAATACCATAAGAATGTGGCAGGACTATGTTTCAACTGCCAGACCATTTCTAATTTGTCACCTTCTGTGTATTTTTCATATCTTCTTTACAGTTATTCAGTCTTAAGCTGGTATTTCAAGTAATTCTATTATTAGAGTTTGGTACAGTAAACTGTGGAAGCGGGGTATAAAGAATAATTAGGGTCTCCTTGGTGGCCCAAGGGGTTAAGTCTTAAATGTTGTCAAGCTGTTGGCAGCCACTATAGCAGAAGTTCGAGGACCTGCCAGGGAGCTGACCCATCACTGCAACCTCAACAGTGTATTTTAGCTAGTCCTCCTCCTCTGCTCCCCACTCTGTCTCTAGTGAATCCTCTCACTCCCCACACCTATGGCCTGTACTCCAGTTCTGTCTACATAAATAAATCCTTTTAAAAAATTGTCTTTAACTTTCCATTTTCTTTTTTATCTTTGGTTATCCCTACTTTTGACCATATAGAATGTGCCCTTCTAGTGTGATTCGTTGTGGGAATTAGTGGTGATGTATTGAGCTGATTCAATTAGTTTTTCTTACTCTTAATGGTGTTCTGGTCCATTTTTTTCCTGTGAATTGTAATTTGTGGTAGTGCACAGAAATAAACACAGGTTTGAAATTTTGTAATTGTTTATTTAGCATTTTACTAATTACAAAGTTCAGGCAATCTACAAGGCAACTTTTCTAATTTTTGCTACCTCTCCCTTCCCTGCCCCAGAATTTTAGTCTAATCATGTTCTTCTAGTATCCTGGTATTTTCAGGTTATTTACTTCTTTTTGGCAGTATTGTGGAACAAAGAGAACTTTGAAAGCATGAGTGATTTGGAAGACTCAGTTACTCTTGTTTTACTTACAAATCCTAGGGGAGAAATGAAAGTGTATAATTACTGTGGAAACTTCTTAAGTTGGTCAGTGGAAGTCAGATGCCTGTGATTTTCATGTTAATATTATTCATAACTGTGCATCCTGGAAAAAGTGTATTACTATTGTTATAATTTCATTCTCTACCAGAAATAACAAAGATGATAATGATCTTTTAGGGCACCAGAATAAGTTTCTCATTTTTGCTATTTTAAGTTAAAATATTCAGTTGTTTTTTTTTTTTTCAAAAAATAGGAAATATTTTGATCCCAAATGGGCAGAGGTTGCAATATAAATAAATCAGTACTAATTAGTGTTTTTTTCTAATTATAATGTTTTTAAGCTGCATAAAATAAAGAATTTTAATCCTGTGTTTTAAAAGATAAAATTAATTACGAATTATGAATTATGAATCATTTGCAGACAGGTACCTTTGAGAATTAATGTGAATCCCACCAGAGAGTTTTCTGAATCAGTTAATGTTACTGTTGACTCAGAGAATGGACGGTTAAAAATAACTGAGAACTTGAAGGTATACCATTTACCCAAAAGTCCTTTGAGAAGTTTAAAGCTCCAAGTAGTTGTAGATAAATTAAAAAAAAAACAAGTTTTGAAGCAGTTTTTTATTAAAGAAACCAAGTAGAAATACAGATTGAAGAAGACATTAGAAGACTTTACTGATATATTTTTGAGATTCAGGAATTTTTAAGAAAAGACAAATTAATTAAGATGCTTAGAACTTTCACCATACTGGTGAAGTGAAATGCTATTTCGTTTATTTAACTTAAACATCTATGGTTGTACTTTTTCAAATGAGAACTTGTAGCCTAAATTGCTTTTAATGACCTTGAATTTTATGTTATGGATACGAATCCATGTAACCTCAGTGTATACCATGGGAATATTCATCTACAGATGAATAGATTTATCACTTTGGACCTAACATATTGAATTGAAACATTCAAAGTTTTGGTTTCCCCCTTATCATTACTAGGAAGTCAATAAGCTATTGTACTATTGCTCAAAGTGGTGGTGTTTTGTGAAAAACCATGTTAGGTTTTTTTTTTTGTTTTAAGTATTTCTAGAAAAACATAAATTATATTTACTGGAGCAGATAATAAAGCTTATGAAAGAAAGAGGGGTTTCAAAATTTTTATAGGTATTATTTTAAAGTAGGTTTTTCTTGCTGACATAACTAACATTTATTTTCTGTTTATTTTTAAGACGAGCAAAAATCAAATTAAAGTAGATCTTGTAGATGAGAATTTTACAGAATTAAGAGGAGAAATAGCAGGACCTCCAGACACACCATATGAAGGCAAGTACTTTTTTCTGTATCAAAATATTGTGCGTATTAGAACTTGTCTGAAACATTAAAATCAGGAATAATCTTAAGCATCAGTAAGCTACATGAAAGTTACTTCATTTGACTTAGAATATACAGCAACTTTTAAACAATAAATTTAGATGCTTATCTAGACTAGTTTCTCTTACTGTATTTCAGTAATTTTTCTCCCCCAAAATAGATTTAGTGGAGCCAACTTACAGGTTCTGTAGGTTGGAATTTAACAGTAGTAAACACCTAGCATGTTACGCCTCTAATTTATATGCACCTTAGGCTCTGAAATATGCTTAGATGGTATCTATAACAAACCTTGACTTAAATTTCTGATTAATAAAGAAAAAAAATTTTTTCAAGTTTCTCTTCTATTTGTCACTTAGCATTTCATTCACTCACTATGTCTTTAAACAGATTGTATTCCAGATATGAACTTTTTTTTTATTGAGGAAAGCTTTGATCTTTCAAGACATATAGAAAAGAAAGAAGGCAGCTTTGCTGAACTTCATGTTCACAGACTATAACTACTTTAGACTATGGAATTGGGTGATAGGATACAGAAAGAAACCTTACAACTTTTACTCCCCTAACTGTACATATCTTCAGCAATGACTATTAGTGTAATATTGAGTTATGTATCATAACCAATAATCTTGCAGATAGTAGACATGTAGATAATTGTTTAATAAAGTCATGTAGCAGAATTTGTGGTAGTAGCATTTATTGAATCTTAACATGTGCTATTTCATTCAGTACTTACAACAAAATTATGAGGTAAGTACAGTCATCTCTGTTGCATAGATAAAGAAATTAGAGGCCAGAGAAGTTCCATAATTTGTCTAAGGTCAGACATCTGAGTACCACTGCTGGGATTTTGAGTCCTCATACACTTTGATTTCAAAGCCTACAATTTTAACCTCCTTTTGAATAAAACTGGATCGACTGAATATTAGAAGTGGTGGTTAGAATTAGTAGTTCTATAAGTCTAACAAAGTTACCTAAAATTTTCAGAAAAACTCAGTAGTCTAGGATATTTTTGTTTTTCATTCAGATTTTTTTAAGACTGCAGAGTATCTTTTGTATATCCTAACAAACTTAAGTGACAAAATTTTATTTTCTATCTTTGAGATCTTATGAGCCATTACTGGATATCTTCATTTTTTTTTAATGCCATTATTGAGTGCCTCCTCTATGGTAGGCCTGTTTTGGATGCTTTCATCTAGTTCTTCTGAAAATCATTAGGTGGACATCTTATTTTTCCAAAAATTAAGTTCTTAATAGCAAATGCTGTATGCAATGAAATACTAGTTCCTTGTTGACTGGACTTAAAACTATACTTGAGGGTTTTTCTAGGTTACTTAGATATATTTTTAAAAGACAGTAGGACAGTAGCATCAGTCTATAAAGTTTTTATAGCATATTAGTAATTATGGACAAGATACTCTAAACTAGTTTAGGATGTTTATTATCTCCTTAGTAACCATTAATAAAAGCAGATGACTTAAAAAATTGAAAAATACTCAACTTACTTGTTGCGTAATTATTATACCATATTCTTCCTTTATTAGAAAATGTTTGCTCATTTTTAAATGCCTGTTTTTGTTGTTGCCATTAAATGAGCTGTTCAATAATAGTTCAATAGACTTTTGGGGTATATATTTGAAAGATTGAGTTACATTCTTTTAATGGAAAAGCTGTTGAGAAGTTGTTCATTTTGTGTAAGAAAAGCACCAAGGGAATAAACTTTGATACTTAAAATAAATGTGAACTTGGATAAAATATTTTGTTAATACCTTGCAGGGCTCTTTCTAATTTGCAAGGTCTTTTTAATATCTCAAGGCTTTTGTTTTTTACTAGCAGCTAAGGCAAAAGTTTACATGTGGAATGTTAAACTGTAACATCATTAGGTAGTAAAGCAATTATTTTATTAAGTGTTAAAAATAGATTGAGAGATAAAATACTCATGGAAAAATTATTATACATTTTACCTCAGTTTTCCTTGATATTAATACCTCAGTGGCAAAGGAAAACAAGTTAGTTCTTGAGCCATTCTTCCTAAGAGTTGGTTTTAATTTAAAGAATTTACTGTCAATATTTTTTAAAATGCCCTACCTTCCCTTTGAATTAAGTTAAAGATTATACATATTTAATATCAGTAGTTGTTTTTCAGGAAGTAAATGTTTTACAGTGAAAGCTATTAAATGAATAATGTACTTATTATAAAGCTCTAGTTGTTGTTGCTCAGACATATATCAAACCGTGCTATGGTTAATATAAAGTGGTTATATTGAAACACAGATATATACAAAACTGCATATTGATCAGCAAGTGGAGTAGAAATAGGATTTGGGGAACTCTAGACTTCAGAACCCATTGGGTTTAAGAGGTCATTTTTTGGTTGTTCAAGGAGAAATAAACTTTATACGATAGGATATAGAGATAGACAGTAATCAGTTTAATCTCTTAATTCGAAGTTAGTGTGTATGTGTATATAACCAAACAAAAAGTTATCGCTAAACTCAAAAAATTTCCCAGGTGCTCTTTTCTTATCTGTCTTACTTTTGTACCTTTGTTTCCCTTTGACTACTTTACTTTGTATACTTCATTACTACTGTGTGCTCTATAATTCAGGCATCTGATTTTACTCATGTATCAGTCCTGTGGGATTCTGTTTAAAAAAATGAGCAGGAAGAATTGGAACCAAAAAGGACTATAACTGGTACCAAGTGAATTGAAGTCTCTGAGATATGTGATCATCTATTACTAACTATGGAGGATGTAGATTTTAGAAATCCCAGACATACAGAGAGCTGAATGTATGAACTTTGAAGTTAATATTCCTTACACAGTCTTTACTTTTTATTATGGAAAACTTATGATATAGATAAAAATTGACTAATAGTATAATAAATCCTTCATTTTTTTCAAATAGCTTCAAAACTATTAGTTCATAGCCATTCTTTGATATAATCCATCTTGATTATTTTGAAGTAAATCCCAGGCATAGTTTCAATATATAAACAATTCACTAGTAGTTTTATTAGGTATATTTTGGAATAATGAAAATTCTATGTAAATACTCTGTATAGTGAATATTTTAATTCTTAAAGTCTAAGAATTGGAAGCTCCTCAGTGGTAGGACTCAAAAACAACCTTTCATCCAGTGTGAGACTTCTCTCTTCAGTTTACTTTTGCTAGACTATCCCATTATGGAAGCAAGATAGTTTTAAAAATACCTATTTAGCCAGTATTGCACAAGAGTGTTGCATTCTGCTTATAGATTGCAGGTTAAAAACAACCCGCTTGTAAAGTTCTGGGTTTTGTATATAATATCCATTTACCACTTTTGTCTCTACATCTACCTCTTGTTGTTGACTATTATTTTTAAAATCTTAACAAGAAGTACTGGCATTTAACTTACGGCACAAGTCAAAGTTTGGGGACATTTTTGCATTTGATCTAGATCTTTTTTTTTTTGCATCTAGATCTTTTTAGCTTAATGGCATAACATGGCCTATTTCTTTGTACCATCTGTGCCTTTTTATTGTTTCTTTTTTTTTCTTTCCATTTTTTGTTAATTTAACATACTCTAGAGGAAATAAAAGGTGACAGAACCTATACTGCTTTTTATATAGTGAAATCTTTGACACTAAATTGTCTGTGGATTTAATGTATCCTTTGTCTTTTTATCTCTAATCCTATAATCCATTCATAAACTAATATAATTGTATAAAATGGATATTATATATACTTTAAATAACCTTAAAAGCCGGTTCTTTTTTGAGTTTCAACTTTAAAATGAATGTAATATACCATGTTTGTATTAGTTTCACAAATTTGCGGTAATCAGCATTCTTATCTTTCTGTTTTCCCCACTTTTTAGGAGGAAGATATCAACTAGAGATAAAAATACCAGAAACATATCCATTTAACCCCCCTAAGGTAGGTATTGTGATTCTATTTTTTGTGCATGAGCTTCTAAAATATATTTCTTGATTCACTTAATTAAAATGTATTTTAGTACTTGCTAACATTTTACTTTTTTGAGTTGTTCACTGTATAAATTTAATGTGAACTAGAATTCAGATAATGGCAGAACACTTGCTTCTAGAATTAGAATGAAGGACAAGGAGCTACACAGGTAGCTAGTAATGGCTCTAGACAGAAGTATGCTATGTGTGAGCCTGACCTTAGCTAAAATTCTAGGTCTGGGAGAACTTGTATTATTCCCAAATTTAGACGGACCTCTATTAACTGTTCAAGTTTTTACTTGCCACAAAAAAAAAAGTGTGTTTTTAGCAAAAAGTTTATTCTGGATTAATTCAGTAATTATTCCAGTGCTGTGTGCCAGGATAACATTAAAGAACACTGTGTACAATCCTTAACTTTCATGGAGCTTACATTCCAGCAGGAAAATAAATAATTGCAACTGATGATTTTAAAAGAGGAAATGGAGTATCCTAGGCTCACATATAACAAGGGAAAGTAATTAAAACTTTTGGTTGCCTGAATAGTTTCCTAATGTCTTTAATGTTGCTGTCATTGTCACTTTAATTTAGATATTCTATCTTTGTTACCTTCCTATTTTTCCTATTCACCCTTCTGTCTTTACCATTCCTAATTCCCGCATTTGCTGCTGTTCTGTAAATCGTAATAAAGTGTGCTTTTGATCATGTTTATTTTTTTACCTTAATAAAGGCTAAACTTCTTAACTGGAAAATTTTTTAACTTCCTACAACTTGACCCCAATCATCCTAATCTGCTACCCTCACTCACCTACAACATGGCTCTTATGTTCTAATCAAGACTATTTGCTACTTGTAGATGATGCTTACTGCTCTCCTCTTTTCTGTCATCTTCACTTAAATCATTGTCCCTGTTTAAAATTTTAGTTTTCTTTTGGGTCTCTAGGTAAAGTACCATGTTTTATAGTCAGCTGTGCCCATCAAATTGTTTCTCCCTCTGCCAGTAGCGTTTTATATTGTTTACATGTACCAACACAAATTCAATACCAGTTAATGTATCATATATGTATCTTCCACTAGCTGTTAGACTTCTGAGTTTAAGGACTATTTCTTGTATAACTTTATTTTCTCTGGCTCCTAACAGTACAGTGTCCTTTGAGCATATAAATTGTAGTCACTAGGAAAATGTTTTGTAATTCATTCATTCTACTTGTTCTTATTTAAGAATAGATCTGATGATAGATGTTCATATGAATTTAGAGCACCTACCTTTATAGGTTATGTATTAATCTGTTGCTTATGTACATGTTTTCTGATAAGGCTGATTGTTTTTTTTTTAATGTGGTAAGATATACATAATGTAAAATTTATCATTTAACCTTTTTTGTGTAACTTTTTAAAATATAGTTGATTGTTGTTAACTACATTTATGTTGTTATGCAAACAATTAAACCTCAATTCATCTCCAGAACTTTTTCATCTTCTCCATGAAACACTCCTCATTACCCCTATACTCCCAGTGTCTGGCAGCTACTATTCTACTCTCTGGGTATGTGTGGAGTAAACAACAGATCAGGTGTCACTGCTGTCATTTAACTGGCGCTTTGATTCTATAGGCACGCTATCTGCTATGTTCCTTAGTTCATTGTAAAGATTAAAAGATTTGACTCATGATAAGGACTATTTCAATAAGTAAATGAAACTTTTTCACATTTTTAACATTCTTAAATCAGATATATCAGTGGGTGGCATTTCATAATTGGCAGAGGTTTTCTTTCTTACGGTATTCAGAATAACACTGCATTTTGTGCCTGTGCAGTATAAATAGTGTTTTGTAATATTTCCTGGCATTAACCAGTTACTTAATAACTTCTAAGCATCCTTTCTTAAAGTAGTCTGCTGTCTTCCCTCTCATATATCATTTTAAAATATAGTAGGTAAGGTAAGTTATTTCGTGATTGGGCTGGTGATATACATCTGAGGAGGTATGAACCTGTTCTCATAAATCATAGCATTGTAAACCAATGCTATCTCAATTTAAAAAATAAGGTACAGTAGCAGTAACATTTAAATTTCTTTCATAAATTAAAATCATACATTATTGATGGGAATATACAATGTTGGATTTGCTTTAAAAAGTTCGGTCAACATGTTAAAAATAGGCCTTATGACCCAGTGATTCTGCTTTTCTGTTTACTCAACTGAAATGAAAATATGACCACAAAACAACTCATTTATACTCTCACTGTTCATAATACCCAAAAGTGAAGTGAAAATAGCAGTCAAGGATGGATAAACAAAATACATATCATAGAATATTGTTTGATTAAATAAGCTAGTGAAATAATGATTCGTGCCAAAAGCATAGTGCTAAATGAAAAATGCCAGACACAAAAGGCCACACATGTGTATAAAATACTGCAAGGAGCAAATATATAAAAACAAAAATAGATTGATGGTTTCTTAAGATTGGGGAAATCCAGATAATATATGAGAAGTGACTTTTGATGGTTGACAGGTTTGTTGTCTAAATCAAAAATTCATGTGTGGTTAAGAGTGCCCAACTCTGAATACGTGAAATACCCTGCAGTTGTATACTTTAAGTAGGTGAATTATGATCACAGTAAGTGTTTAAACTTTCCTCCTTGTATAATATATACAAGTAGCTCCAACATGAATTTATAGTCCTGACTCTTCTTAGACACTTGATTATTGCATTTAGTCCTTGAAATCACTGCTTTTTGGTTTGTTTGTTTGTTTTAGTAAAATAAGAAAAATAGTTGCAAAACCTAAGCACTGGAGTCTGTCTGATGTTTTTGTAACTATATTATATTGTTCTTCAGGCCACTGCTATCCTCATTCTAGCCATTTCATACTGAGATAGCTTTAATATTTGGAAAGATAGTCCTTCAGTTACCCTAAATTTGTCTCCTTTTGACTTCAACAGGCTAGATACAGTTGGAATTTAGCATTGGGTTGTTTTGTTTAATGTGTTTAATTTAATCTCTTTTATGGCATTAAGTAATGTTTAATGAACTTAATGTTAAGTATGTTCTAGATGTGTACTAAATTGACTTGCATTCTTCCACATTTGCAAATATATAAAAAGAATGGGGTATATTTGTGCATATTTCTTGTTAAATTGTGTTCATATGTTTAATATGTAGGCTTAGGTTTTTAATTTTAAGCCTTATGAAATAAAAAGTATTGAAGTTAGGTGCTTCTAGTGTCTCTCCACTGCTGTGCAGCTAAAATTGCTGAGTTGGAAACTTACATCATTGGGTCTTAACATGCGTAGAGTTTTCTCTTTACTGTTCTGCAATATATTATAGCTTGAACCATCTGCACAGGACTTACTAGACAGAAGATATTTCTTTAAAGCAACTGAATATGGTATAGGAGGAATTTGGTTCAACTTATTCTACCAATTTGATATTTGGAGTAAATTGTAATGTTTGCTAATGAAAAAAGCTTCTTAAATTAGGAAAACTCTAGTTCAGTTATCTGTTCACTCATGTATTAGAGATCGGGTTATGAATTTTCCTCTTTATTCCTTGGTGTTCTCTAGACCACCATATATATATATTTTTATATATGATATTGAAATCACTGTTGAGTACAAATTGAGTACAAATGCTAAGAATCTTTAATGAGCTGTATGTAACATAATTATATACAGAGTAATATTTAACATCTTTGATTTCCAAATGTGAAATCAGGAAATCCCAGTGGAAACATGAGCTCATGTCATGTTAATGAATGTGCCTTGTCCTATAGAAGGAGATTAAAATCTACTTATGATTGTGTGATCAATATAAATAATTAAGAATAATTACCTTCTTTCCTTTTCTGTCTGGTAATGCTGTTGGGTTTGTTTTGTGTTGTTGTTTTTTGAAAGTTGCTTATACTTTGAGTGCCCCCCCAAAATCTAATGAGTAATTAGATTAGATTGTAATTACCCAAAAAGTGCTGGTGTGTTGGTTTTGCTTATGCGGATAACAAAACTTGAATTTTTAGTAATAAGTGCTTTAGTGCTATTAAGGCATCCTATATCTGTTTATAATCAGATCCCATATCTGTTTTGTAATCAGAGTCAAATAGGATGTCATTAGATCATAAAAAATACCATTATATTATTACTCGGTCTTATATTTTAGTTCTTTTGATACTACTTTTTTGTTGGTATAGAACAGGGAGAAAATGATTAATACAATAGATGTTAACTGGAATGTAAAATAAAATGATAGGATAAAATTCTGATATACATGTGTGATATTTAGGTTTAAGAAAGAAGTAAGAAACCTAAGAAAGGAGAAGTTGATGACAAGCACTAACAAAGATGAGAAGAATAGGAAATAGTGATAGAACATACTTGGAACTAGTTTTTAAGACATCTATATCTGTGTTAATGGGTAATGCATTTCCTCTAGAAAATTAATTTATGAGATCATCTGTAAATTCAAGCTTATTTATTCTTCAATGTAGATTATAGTACAAGGTAATAAATAGTTCAATGATTTTGCTAGTCCTTCAAATTTGTTCTCACAGAAACAAACTCATATTTTCTAAATTTCTGAAAATATTGAACCAATATCGAAAGTCACAAAATGTGTAATTTCCATGAATTAAAGAACTGTTTAACTAGATTTTATTTCATAGGAATCTGATAGAGTTAGCATTTTCACTTTGCTGCTTTCTTATTCTCCATATTTATATGAATAGATGATTATAGCTTTAGCATCTAAAAGAGGATGGTATTAGTTTGTATTTTGTTCTATTGCTAACTAGTTTTTTGAGCTTGGATAAACTCTTAAACTCTAAACTTTAGTGTCTTTTCAGTGTATGGCACATATAATCAGCCTTCAAATATTTCTTAAATTATTTAAGAAAAAAGAATTTGAGGGGAAAATGCTACAAAAAAATAAGGAGCAGTATTACAGTCATTAATTACCGGTGCTTCTATGTACTGGTTTTGCTTACTTTTTTTTGTTCCAATCTATTCTATACCTTAAACTAAAAAATACTTACTGTTTTTTGTATTTTGATTTTATGTACTACTTTATCTTCCTAAGTGGCTTTCATTCATGTCGTATTTCTCATAGTATGTAGCATTTTGTTAGGTGAATTAAAAACATCTATTCATTGCTAGATTTCTCTAAGGGGAGAGGGCATTTAAAGAATTAAAAAGCGTATATATCAATGACAACATTCAGCTTACTGAATACTTTGTCTTCTTATTTACACCCCTCTCTTCATCTAAGTGAAATGATGTAAGTATATACATATTTATTTTAATCTGAGGTTTTCATTTTCTTGTAGTTCTACTTAAACTATAATTGTTTTATTTTTATTACTTAAAAACTTCAAGTATACTTTATATTCTAGGTCCGGTTTATCACTAAAATATGGCATCCTAATATTAGTTCTGTCACGGGAGCAATTTGTTTGGATATCCTGAAAGATCAATGGTAAGAGATTTTGAATTTACCTTCTCCTCCTCCTTATAAAATTCCAAGACTGTTAGGAGTGTTAAATGTATGATTTCCTCAAATTATGAGCTTATGTTTTCTCTTACTAGCGCACAATAATTTTAAATCTTTATGAAGTCTCTTGAGTACATCATTGAAAAATAAGTTATAATTGAAATCATAACTTATATTGACTTGTTAGGTAATGTCATGCTAGCTTTACATCTTGGAAAGTCATGTGCTTCATTTATTTTAGTCATTTTAATTCTTTGCTATCAGGAAGATATTTGTGAGAGTCTTAAACTTAAGTATTGAACTAATCAGATCTAACTTGGAATGTAGCTAACTAATATTAAAAGTTGTAATAATTGAATATAGCTAAAAGTTCTCAGATTCCAGGGCCTCCTTGGGTATAAAGGGTTAAAGCACAGCACTATGGCTATCTGTAACCATTGCAGCACGAGTTGGACTACCAGTCGGGGAGGTGACCCACATGGCACAGCATTATCTCCCCTGTCTTGCCTGCTGCTCCTCTCAGCAGTACATTTCAGTGGATCTGTTTGTTCTGCTCCTCACTGTCTCTGGTGAACCCTCTTAACTCCCCACACCTCTGGCCTGTACTTCAGTTATTATATATATAGATAAACTATTTTTTTTAAAGGAAAGATTATGGGGTGTGTGTGTGTGTGTGTGTGTGTGTGTGTGTGTGTGTGTGTGTGTGTGTGTGTGTGTGTGTGTGTGTGTGTAGGGAAAGAATTTATATTCTTATACCAGGGCACTTTATCAACTATTTCTGTTTTATAAGGCAAGTGCAATAACAGAATTTAAAACACTAAAAGATATGTAAGATACATCAGATGATTAGGTAGATTGGATATCCATGGATTTGCACATACCACCTCCTTTATTGAAGAAGAGTTGATATTTAGTAGATAATCCATGTTTAAATGTTAATGTTTAGACTTTAAAACTGGGATTTGATAAAGAAAACTAAAGGATGATAATATAAGTTCTATACATTGAATAAACACTGAATAATTAATTTTTTAAGATTTAATTTATTTATGTATACAAGATACGGGTTCTTGATCAGAGGTGCCAGCGGACAGGCTGTGAGGACTCACCAGAGACACACGGGGGGTGCAGAACAGGTAGATCTACAGTAATACACTGCTGCAGGGAGCAGCAGGAGAGAAAGGAAATGGCTGCTGCGCCATGTCGGTTACCTTCCTGGCTAGGATCTAACTCACGCTGTAGTGGTTGGAGATAGCATGATTCACTGAGACTTCAACCCCTGCACCACCAGGGAGGCCCACCATTCAGTACTTTGTGTACATGTACACTAGAAGAACATTTACTCGTTTTGGTCTTTTCATTAATACATGTAGATGGTTATTTACCTTTAATATTCAGCAACTTGTTTTTATTATGATTGGTTTCTTAATGCCACAACTTAACCCTGTGTGGACTATTTTCTGATCTTTTTTCCATTGATACCTGCTAGGATAAAAGATGTCTACTTGGAGAAGAAAGGAACCAAGTATAAAATTTAACTCACAGGCACTAAGAGAATAACTGGTTGATAAGGTTAGCATCATTGGTAATCAGTGAAATACAAACTAAAGTCATAGTTAACTACTACTAAACATTTGCTTGATTGATTCTCATTCATTGGAAGAGGTGTGGTTTAACTGCTTGACCAGCATCAGCCAAAGCTAAGCATACACCTTCACTGTGACTTGGTAGCCATAGCCATATTCCTAGTCATATATTCAAGAAAAGTCCTAGAGAAATGAGTATCAAACAAGACTGTGCAAAAAGATTTATGACACATTTATTCAAACTGGAAACATAACACCAATGTTTCTAGACCAAAAAAAAAGGACATATGAAGTATAGTCATACCTCATGGTGGAATACTACATAGCAAAAAAAAAAAAAAGAACCCATAGTGACACAAACAATTTGAGTTTCCCAAAGATGTGCCAAATGACAAAAGCTGTACAGTAAGGGATACATAATGGGCTATTTTGTTTTTATGAAATTCAACATGAGCTGAAACTAATAAATGCTGATAGAAATTATGCCAGTCATGGGTGTAGGTGAGGATTCAAGTGGAGGGGCAAAAGTGAGATTTTTTGAGTGCTGAAGATATTCTCCCTATTGTCTAGATCATAGATACATGGATATAATCATATGTAAATGTTTATCCAGCTCTAGATTGTTGTTTTATATAACTTCATAAAAATTAATAACAAATGAAATGGCTGTTATCTTTGAATAGCATTAAGTGCTGAAAAAATATGGATTCTTTATGGTCTTCTGGAAGATCCTTAACAGAAAAGTCATTAATAATAGATAATTCATATGTTTATTCTACATATTAATGGTCCTACTAATTTCATATGAGTAGATACTTAGACATATTAACTGTGCTTATTGACTTGGACAGAATTAATTTACTAACTATATAGAGTGAGAAGTACTCATATCCACTGGTTAATTAAAATTAGTTAATACATTTTGAGATTTCATTTTCCTGTTTATAAAAGATTTATAAAGATTTATTCATGTGGGCTCTACCTGGTGGTGCAGCGGGTTAAAGCACTGCACTATGAAGCTATCAGAACCCACTGCAGCATGAGTTTGATCCCCAGCTACGGAGTTGACCTACATGGCATGGCAGATCTCTCCTGGCCTGCCTGCTGCTCCCCTCAGCAGGGTATTTCAGTCTCTCCGCCTGTTCTGTTCCCCACTCTGTCTCTGGTAAATCCTCTCACCCTCCGCACCTCTGGCCTGTACCCCAGTTCTGTAAGCATAAATAAATCAGTCTTTTTAAAAAAAAAAAAAAGATTTATTCATGCATTTAAGAACTGGGGTGTAGGCCAGAGGTGTAGGTTGGAGAGAATGAAAGGATTCAACAGAGACAGAGCGGGGAGTAGATCAGAGAGAATTTACTGAAATACACTGCTAAGGGGAGCAGTGGGCAAGACAGGAGAGGTCTGCTGCGCCATATGTGGGTTACCTCCCTGGCCCAGTACCGGTCCTGGGGGTGATAGCACTGAGACTTAAACTATATACCACCAGCAACGCCCCCAGAATTCTTTTTAAATTTAAAAAAAAAATTTTTTTAAATACACCTCCTTTCACAGGTATGTTGAGCAAGTGACTGAGGTTTCCCAAAATAGTCCCTATTTTCACACATGTTTAGCCTACCCCTTTTCCCATCCTCCACCAGTGTGGTAAGTTTGTTACAGTTGATGAAACAACACTGACAGATCCTAACCCATTCAGAAATCTACAGTGATATATATCCATCATTATTGTGTAGAGAGTGTTTCCACAGCCTCTTCTTTCCACCACATTTTCTTATCCCAAAATTCTTTTCATTTTGCAAAAACTTTGTACCCATTAAACAAAGGTTTCCATCTCAGTAACCATTCTTCTTTCTATGAATTTATTCTATGAATTTATTCCATGTGCATCTTAAAGTATTTGTGTTCTTTAATTTTTTCATTTAAATACTTTTCTGCTTGGTGGTTCATTCTCCTCTTAGATATATATAATCCCCATAATATTGCCACCACCAAGACACCAGTGAACCATCACCATGGTCTTGCTCTCTTCCTGCCTCTGTTTTGATACCTCTCCTTCTTCCTCCTCAGCTGAATGTCTGTGGTTTATAGTTTGCCTTTTGTCTTTTCCCCGCTGATCCCTTGTTTGTTTTTCTGTATTCCTTCTATAAATGAAACCATCCGATATGTTCTTATTTCACTGAGCATACTCCCCACTAGCTCCGTCTGTGTTGCTGCAGATGGCTTGAGTTTATCTTTTTTTTTGATTGATGAATAGTATTCCATTGTGTGTGTGTGTGTGTGTGTGTGTGTGTGTACACACATGCACAAACCACATCTTCCTAATGCATTCATCTGTTTGTAGGCATTTAGGTTGTTTCCATATCTTAGCTATTGTAAATAGTCCTGCTTAAACAAAGAAATGCAGGTTTCCTTTCAGGTTAATGTGTTTGTGACCTTTGAGTATATTCCTAGAAGTGGACTTGCTGGGTCATATGGTAGTATTTTTAGTAGTTTGAGGGTCCTCCACACAGCTTTCCATTGTGGCCATTTTACATTCCCACCAGCACTACAAGAGAGTTCCTTTTTCTCCGCATCTTTGTCAGCATTTGTAGTTGCCAGTTTTTTTTTTTTTTTTTAATATGGGCCATTCTTGCTGGTGTGAGTGATAGAGCTCATTGTGGTTTGAGTTGCATTTCCCAGATTATAAGAGATGTTGAACCTTTTTTCATACCTGTTGGCTATTTGCATTTCCTTATTGGAGAAGTGTCTTTAGTTTTTCTGCCCATTTTTGGACTGGATTGTTTGCTTTTTGTTGGTGGTGGTGTTGAGTCCTGTGAGCTCTTTGCAAATCTTTGAAATCAGTCCCTTATCAGTTGTGTGTAATGTAAATATTTTCTCCCAGTTGTTAGGGTGTCTCTTGGTTTAGGTTATTGTCTCCTTTGCTAGACAGAAGCTTTTGGTTTGATATAATCCCAGCTGTTTATCTTTCCCTTCACTTTCTTAAGTCAGGGTATTTGTTTTTTTTTATTACTGGCTTCACTTAAAATAATTGTCCTCAGACCCACCATGTTGTAGCTTATTTCAGAACTTTCTTAAAATTTTATCTGAATAATACTCCATTTATGTATTTACCACAGTTTGCTCATTAAACATTTAGTGAAAGCCTGGGTTCTTTCCACCTTTTGGTTATTGCAAATAATATTTGTTATGATAATGTTTTCACAAATATCTGTTTGAATCCCTGCTTTTTTTTTTTTTTAAGGTTTATTTATTTGTGCATACAGAACTGGGGTACAGGCCAGAGGCTCAGGGGCGGTGAGAGGCTTCACCAGAGACAGAGTGGGGAGCATAACAGGCAGATCGATGAAGTACGCTGCTGAGGGGAGCAGCGGGCGGGTCAGGAGAGGTCTGCCACGCCATGTGGTCACCTCCGGGGCAGGCGGGAATCGAACTCATGCGGAAGTGGCTTTAGATTCTCAGTGCTGTGCTCCAACCCGCTGCGCCACCAGGGAGGGCCCGGCTTTAGCTTCTTAATGCTGTTCTTTAACCCACTGTGCAACCAAGAAGGGTCTCTGACTCCTGCTTTAATTGTTTTACATATATTGCCAGAATTGAAATTGCTACATCATATAGTCATTTTGGTTGATTTGTTTGAAGAATCGGGATACTTTTTTCCTAAAACAGTTACTTTATTTTTCTTTACAACTTCCATTATACAAAGATTGTAATTAACTTTACATTCTTGCCAGCAGCTCTTTTTTTTTTTGTAGTAGTTACCCTAATGTGTGAGGTGGTATTTTACTGTATGGTTTATTCCCCTTATAATTAGTGACATAAAGCATTTTTTCATATGCTTATTGGTTATTTGTGTGTCTGTTTTGGGTAAGGGCTAGAGTCCTTTTTCATTTTTAATTTGTGTTTGTTTTTTGTTTTTGCTTTATAGTTTAGCTCCTTACCGTATACATGCTTTGCAAATATTTTTTCCTGTTCTGTGGGACAGCCCAAGGATATTATTGTCATTGAAGGAAAATTTTAATCAAATTTAAAAAGTGCTATCTCCTCATGTACTTTTTAGTAGTTACAATTAATTTCTCTATATTTTCCTACTGAATCTTGTGCTTATTGTCAAACCCAAAGACATAAAGCTTCCCTCTGTGTTTTCTTCTAAGATTTTTATAGTTTTAATATTATGTAGGTCTTTCATCAGTCACTAGTTAATTTATATATGGGTCCAGGTTCGTTTTTTCAAGAGCCTGTCAAGTTTTGAAAAAAAATGTTTACTGTGTCATTGAACTGTACACTTAAAAATCTGCTTTTGTGATATTATTAGAGTTTTGCTAAGATTTTTAGATTTAATGGCTTTTACTTTACTCATTTGTGAGTGTAATATTAAGTACTTCCTTTGAGTGAAGACTTTTCTCCAATATTCAAATAAGAAAGCAATAACTGTATTTATTAAAGATTATATAACTTAAGATTATGCTTAAAGTGATGTCATACATTTTTAAGTTGAATGCTTAAGCAAGTTTATTGAAAACTAGGAAAATCAGCTTAATTTGTTACTGAAATTTGTATTTCTGTCCTTTTTTTTCAGTGGTTTAAGTGAGATTCTTGCTGATACATTTAGACAGGTTTTGTTTTAAATAAATTTTATTTACCATTGGTTTACAACACTACATAAATTCCAGCAGTACAGCTTGATAACTCAGCATGTGTATTTGCCTCACCACATAAACCCACAACCAGAATTTTAGTACTATTCATAATATAAAATTGACCCTCTATCCTTCCATATGCTATCTCCTTCCCTTCTGGTAACCACTTTATATTCATATAGTTTTTAATTATTACTAGAGTTGGTATGGCTGTTTATATCTCACATATGAGAGAAACTATTCATAATAGTCTTCATCTTTTGACTTATTTCACTTAGCATGATCATCTCCACTATGTTTCTATAAAAGGCATAATTTCATATTTTCATTAATTGAATATTACTCCATTGAGTAGTTAGATAGGCGGCTTTTGATGTATGTGCCTCTAAACATTCCCTTTAAAATTACCCAGACATTGGGGCCTCCCTTGTGGCACAGGATTAAAGTCTCAGCACTATCAAGCTATTTCCAGCCACTGTTGCATGAGTTCGATTCCCAGCAGACTTCTCCCCTGTCCTGCCTGCTGTTCCCCTCAGGCAGTGTATTTTAGTAGATCCACCTGGTCTGCTTCCCACTCTGTCTCCAGTGAATACCCACATGTACACACCCACACCTCTGGCCTAGACCCCAGCTTCTGTATGCATAAATAAATGAAAACAAATCTTTCAAAAATAATTTCCCAGACATAAAATGATATTAGAGTAATGTACTTATAATTAAGAAAGCTTTCACCTTGCCATAGTGATACTGACCAGACACTGTCTCTGGTGAATCTTCTCACCCCTTGCACCTCTGACCTGTACCCCATTTCTTGTGTGGTGCATTAGTTAATGAATTGATTGATTGATTGATTAATAGTCTTTTTAAAAAACTTTAAACTTCTAGTACATGAAACTATGTATTGGCTCATAAATTTTTTAAGTTTTGTTCTCTTTTAAAACTAGTTTTAACATTTCAGCTAAGTTTTATGTACTTTCCCCTTTCCCTGCAGTATCTCTAAAAGGATTAACTAATTTTTTATTCTGATAGCATTTTAGATGAAGTCATTTATGATGTAGTATTTTTCTAATATATAAAAACCTACAAATACGACTTTATTTTATTAGTTTAGGACAAATCTTCTTACTTAGCTTAAGTTGTATATCACCAAAGCAATGTTTCTCAATTTAGCTTGCATCAGAATCACTTGGAGTACGTGTTAAACCACCCCAGAGTTTCTGATTCACTAAATATAGTACAAGATAAAGAATTTTGATTTCTTACAAGTTTCTAGGTGATACTGATGCTACTGGCTGGGAAAACTTTACTTTGTAAGACAAACTGCCTTAAGACATTGTTGTTAATAAATTAACTTTTCTTCAAAGCATCTAGGATGGTACTATTCATATATCATCTTTGGGGAAGTAGAAAAAAAATAGTCACTCAGTAATTTTCTGTACATGGCTAAATGAGAAATCCAGTTGAAAATATTGGCTTGGAATGATCTTATTTGTGTGGTAAGATGGGCAGACTGTTAATTTCTTAAACATTTAAAATATTTTACTATTTATATTTCTATATTAATTGAATAATATTTTATAGTATGCTAAGAATCATGGCTGTTTTCAAATAGCATTTTTTAGATTAATGTTTGTGTCATATAAATGCATTTAGAAGAACTATTATATTTTGAGCAAAAAACTTGCTCTGTTTCATAATGTTTTCATACTTATAAAAGTGAAAGGTATTTGCTTGGTGGTTTTTTCTTGCTTGATTGCAGAGTGCCTTTGAAAGAGAGTTCCTTATTTTGGCTTATCATATAAAGAAATAGAGTTAAGATATTGTTAACAATAAGAAAAAAAAGACAATTTGAGTTGTCCTAATAGACTCATTTATTATGAAGAACAATGATAGGCAGGTGCTTAAGATAAATCAAAATTATTTTTAGCTCCAGTAGCTTTTTTATTGTATTCAGAAAGCATCCATTTTGCTTTTGTCATGCAGAGTATTCTTAACTGGGATATTTCATTAATTTGAATTTCAGGGCAGCAGCAATGACTCTCCGCACGGTATTATTGTCATTGCAAGCACTATTGGCAGCTGCAGAACCAGATGATCCACAAGATGCAGTGGTAGCAAATCAAGTAAGATAGCTACTGTTTTCCTCAGTGTTATTTGTAAAAAAGCGTTGATTATGTAACTATGTAATTTTGGTGGCACAATGTAACACCTTTATGCTTTACCTCCACCAAACCTTCCACGCTGATGATGTCCTGATCCCCTTCCCCTATTACTCTATTTTACCTTCCTTTCCTCTGTCCCCTCTGGTAATAGATGTTTTCAGAGTCTTACATTATTTTATGTACTTTTGTCACTTTGTTTTCTTATGGTTTTACTGAAGAAAACACAAATAAGTGAAACAGTACAGTGACTGTCTTTCATTTACTGGCTCATTTCATTTAGCACAATCACCTCAAGGCCCATCCATTTTGTCCCAAAAGCTATTATTTTGAGATAGCTACTGTACTTAGCTGTGAGGTAATCTGCATTGTTAACCGAGTATACTTCCACTGGTTCTAAATTTATAAATTGTTTTCACTTAGGGTAAGATTATTTTGTCAAATGTAGTAGAAACTTTTTTTTAACACACTAGTTAAATTGGGTGTATAGTAGGTGCTTTTTCCCTAGCATATTATGAAATTTTGTAAACAATGTTGAAAGTACACATAGTGAAGACCCATATTCCCACTTACCATCTACAACCTATGATTAGCATTGTTACACATGCATTATGTGGGGACCCCTCTATCCCTCCTTTCAGTGATCTTTTCCTGGTAGTGATTTTAACCAGCTCCTCTGTAGTACTGAAATGGCTTAGTGGAAGTTACATTTAATGCTGAATGGAATAAATCCTTTCAGTTCTGGTCTTTGATTCCCACAGCAGATATTAGCAATTCATGGTTAGATTATTTTTGTAAGCAATGCTTTGTTGCAGCAAAGTAATACATTTATTACTTGCCAGCTACAAGTGGTGGGATTGACTAGTTAAGTCAAAGATGTGGTGACATGTCTGAAAGTTTTAAAAGTTTGACAACTCCTCTTCTAAGTCATCCAGATTTACTGAGCTTTCTCTTGATTTGATATACTACTTTCTTCTGTTATCTTTATTATCCCTTCTTAATTCCTATAATTTTTTTTCCTTTTCATCCTCCTACCAGTTAAATACTGTTTCTTGGACCTCGTATTGTTCCTTTTACCTTCTATTCTGTACACTCAGATAATCATATGCACACTGATACCAAGTCTGTATTGATTACTACCTGTATGTTGATAAAATGTTTGGACTTGCCCTCATGAGCCCATGAACCTTTTTAGAACTGAATATATAAATGTTTCATGGATATCTCAGCACTGTATTTCTAAAACTGAACGCTGGACCTTCATCCCTTAAAACTTGTCTATCCTTGTATGGTACCATCATCAGTTTTTTATTAAATTTTACCCTTGTTACAGACTTGAAGTTCTTTGTTTCCTTTGTCTGACTGATTTCATTCCCAGTATCTCTTTGTCATTATACTTCTGTGATTGCCTCAGTTCACATTTTTTAAATTTTCTCTTTTTGGATACTCTAATAAAGCTCCCTTCAGTTTTCTCTTATTTTTCTACAATGATTCAATGTTGATAATCAGTTAGATTTATAAGATCCAAAGTTTGGGGCCTCCCTGGTGGCTCAAGGGGTAAAGTAAAATAGTTCAAGGCTGTCTGCAGCCTCTTCAGCACGTGAGTTTGATACCCGGCCAAGGAGGTGACCCACATGGCACAAAAGACCTCTCCTGCCTAACCTGCTGCTCCCCTCAGCAATGTTAAGTCAATCTGCCTGTTCTGTTCCCCACTCTGTCTCTGTGAATCCTCTTCACTCTACATAAACAAATCTTTTTTAAAAATGCAAATCTTTGTCTTTACAACTAAAAACATATTAGTATGTTTTAGTTAGCGGAGTTCCTCCTTGATTTGACTGACTTAATTCATCTACTAAATTCTTAACTGTTCCTCAAGCTCATGCTGTTTTAAATTGTATTCACTTCTGAATGTCTTTTCCCCATTTGCTGTTTTCTCTACTTAAGAAGCATTTTCTCTTAGCAAACTTCTACCTTTCCTTTAAAAAGCAAGCTGTTCACTCCTTGTTAATATTTCCTACTATTGTTTGTCTCAGAGTCCTTAGAATTAGTGGTTTTACATGTATATATATGTGTGTGTGTATGTGTATATATATATATATATGCCATCTATTCATTTTTGATAGATTATGATTCTCAACTCTGATTTACTGTTGCGCTTTTAGCCTCAGATCTTCTTCTATCTCTTAAAACACAGATTTATTTCCTAGTTGACAGGCATAGAAACTAGGTTTATCATTTTAGTATATAATAGAAGCTCAATAGTGTTAAAATGGTCAATATATATCAAATACTTGAAAAAGAAATATTGATACAAGTTTGTTATTTTAAATTTGCACCTTGCTTTTCTGGTGGTCTGAGGTATTTGTAAAAGTGCTGTATGATGAGTTTATAATCACCTCAAAACATGCAGTAAGTTAAATCTTGGCAGTCAGCTCCTCTGAAGCACTGTACTCATGCAGCTCTAGCAGAACAGCAAGTATTGTATTCTCATTTGAGCTGTGGTTATTGCACAATTGATCTCACTTTTTCATGTCCATGTAATTTCAGAAGCTAGTAGTTCTTTTTATTTGTATAAAGTTGGCCACTACACCATGTTTAGAAACATTTCTCATATCATTTAGTACTAATTTTCTGCCAGTTATATTTATTAAATGGGAGATTAAAGTTGCTAGACTTTGTTTTTCTTTTGTCAACACAGTCTGTTCAGATTAGTCTCCAGTATTAAACTACATTATAGACAAAATATTTGTTTGCATTGGGAAGCAAGTCACTAACATTTTTAGTGTCAGTTTTATTTAGAAAAAGCAAGTTCTTAGACAATTAAGAATTGAATTGTTATATTGAATACTATAATTGTATTTCATATCAATTTTTTCCCCTCTTGTATAGTACAAACAAAATCCTGAAATGTTCAAACAGACAGCTCGACTTTGGGCACATGTGTATGCTGGAGCTCCAGTTTCTAGTCCAGAATACACCAAAAAAATAGAAAACCTATGTGCTATGGGCTTTGATAGGGTAAGTACATAAAGGCTGCTAATTGTGATATGTTGATTTACTTAAAGTATTACTGCAAATATTTGACTAACAAAAGTATTTATTTTAATATTATAGTTTATTTTTACATCATTTTGTGCCTTTTTCCATCTCAGTGGGCTTCCTACCACCAAATCACCCATAGTCTAGTGTATTTCCCTGCCCCTGTACCTCCCAGCTCCTTACTCCCCCCATTTTTGATCCCATTCCCCATTCCACCTCCATAAAATGTCTCTGGTATATAGTTGTTCGTTGTTTTTTTTGTCCCCCTGATTTTTTATGCTCCTGCTATGAGTGAAACTATATGGTATTTTTCTTTTTCTTTTCTGGCTTATTTTACTATACATCATCCCTTCCAGCTCTATCCATGTTGCTGTAAAAGGCATGAGTTTATCTTTTTTTTTTTTTTTTTTGGCTGGTCAGTAATATTCCATTGTGTGTATGTACCATATCTTTTTAACCCATTCATCTACGTTTGGGCATTTGGGTTGATTCCCATGTCTTTCATATTACAAATAAAGCCGCAGTAAACATAGGGGTGCAGGTGACAAATGTATTTTAAACAAGTAATCTAAATTTAGAGTTGATAGATAAAATCTATTACTAAAATAAGTGATTTTGTATTTTGCTGATTTCATTCATTGCTTTTAGAAGATATTTTTATTCACTACAAATAAAAGGTGAAAAGTGTGATTTATTACTATAATGTAGTGATTAGTATCTTACTGTCACTTTAGATTTGATTTTCTGTCTCCTTTTCTTTACAGAATGCGGTAATAGTGGCCTTGTCTTCAAAATCATGGGATGTAGAGACTGCAACAGAATTGCTTCTGAGTAACTGAGGCATAGAGAGCTGCTGATATAGTGAAGCTTGCCCCTTCCTGAGGAGCATCTGTTATTTTTAGGATTCTGCATAGATTTCTTTTAAACTGGCATTCTTGCCTAATGATGTTATCTAGGCACCATTGGAGACTGAAAAAAAAAAAAAAAACCAACCCCTGCTCTGTAAATAAAGCTAATTAAACGTCTGTGTAAATTTAAAAAGGGGAAATACTTTAATTTTTTTTCTTAATAGTGTAAAAATTCTTTGAGCTAAGCTAAAACCATGGAAAAAACATGCTACTTTAGTGTTTAGCAGTGTACCAAGACTAGCAAGAGTTTGCTTCAGGATTTTGTTGAATAATTAAGATAATATTTTGAGTGTGTCAGGGCCATTCAAATTGTTGGTGTTGCATCACAGCTACCTTAACTGTTTTTAACATGGATCCTCTGTGCCCGTGAATTTACTTGCATGCTTGTACTTGATCTTAGAATGGGTAGCTGAAAAGACCACCATTTAAGCATTTGAGAATTCTTCAATATAAGATTTATCCACAATTGAAGATGGTGACCTATTCAGAGCCTTTTTGTCCCTGTCAGCAGACTGGACCTATCTATTTTTCCCCTCTACCACACACAGCTAATATTCTGATAGTGAATTTCTCTATATTTAGGGGGGATATATGCTGAGAGACAATATCCCTTGCTCCATTTTTTTAGTCACCCGTTTGGAATGTTTTGTCACAGTTCTTCACTTTTAAAGCTTTCCTGTGTAAGTAATAGTGTAAAAATGGAGCTGCCAATTTTGTTTCTCTTGATGAAAAACAGTAAATACTTGATAATGCAGTATTCCCAGATTTAATGAAGGAATAAGTTAATAGTTTTTCGGTGAATTTGGCACATCTTCCTATTTTTTAACTGGTGAAATTTTTCTTTGAGAATTTGCAAAGATAAAATCAACTGGGTTTTTTTGGCCTAATTTAGAGATTGCTTTATGGGATACATTAAAGTCACTCTTGCTTGCATTTGCCCCTATTAACACATGAAAGCTGTGTTGGTGTTTTACTGTACATACTTCAAATGCACATAGGAATAGAAGTGTGTTATAAATCTAGCTTTCTTTATGATGTTTCTGATAATATGAGAATTGAAAACTTTACCTTCTCTTGTACATAGTCAGACTTTCTATTCGTATTAAAGTTACATTTCATTCTCAGTTCAAAAGTTTGAAAATTATTAGTTTTGCAAGCTCAAACACTAATGTGACCATTTTATGAAGGTTGAAATGGATTGATGCAGGCAGTTCTATACATAGAAGAAACAGTTCTTATTAAATTTCCAGGACCAGTGAAAATAACAAAAATGTAATGGAATCAGAGTGAATTAAAATAAGGCTATATATATTGAAAGTCATTATAAAAGGTTTTCTTTCTTCAAGTGTTAATTACCCTAAATTATAATCATTAAGTGTTTGGAAAATGATTTTGAACCATAAGTTACATAGTTTCATTTGCCTTCTCAATAATCTTAGAAGCAATAAAAGAACCATTATTAAATAATATTATAATGTTAAAGATGTGGAGGTTCTTCCAAAAATTTATAAGGTTATCCTAATCAGTAAACTCTTGTAGTTGATATTATTGCATACTAGACACAAGTTGGTATGTTTTTCACCCTCTCTGTTTGCTTAAGCATAAATTCCTTTATCTAATCACTTCCTTTAATTGTTGTAGTTTAGTTACTTTCTAAAGATGCCAAAGGAAACAAGATTTTTCTTTATTTATTTTAAATAGCTGAAACCTTGTACTTTTCTTTGTATTTTAAAGGTGAGACTGTGTGAACGCTTGGAAAGTTTTGTTCCATTGTTGGTCAGAATTAATGTCTGTTTTTGTTTGTTCGTTTTTTTTTAGTGGAGGGCAGCTTGGTAATATTAGTAATATTTGAAAGATCAAACACATCTGTCTCTACCCAGTTTCCTATTTGCCTATATTATCAGGGTATATTTAATTGTCCTGTGGTTACACAAGGGAGAGAGAGAACTCAGAGGCTACTAATATCAAGCATCACACACTTCCTTTTGGAGGCGATGATACTTTTACCTTCAATTTTTATGCACATTAACCTCATAGTGTATTAGCTCATCTAACTATAATTAAACATTCCACTGCCCAGGAAATCAGAAGTACAATATTTGGTGAGGAATTTTCCATTATTAATTTTTCATATGAAAAATTTACTTACCTCATTTACATTTAATGTGATTCTGGTACATTGCCATTGTCCTTCTTGTGGGTTTCTGTTATTTTCACTTCTTTGCAGGTATATTATTTCTGCAAACAGAAATTAAGGCAATTTCTGTTTTCCTCTGGTCTTAAATATATTTGAGAAAAGGACACTAAATGTCCAGGCCTAGGGAAAAGGTACCCTGGTGGAAATTTTGTGATTTGTCAATTTTAAGACGTCAAAAATTAAGTTGGCAAATTATATATGTATGCGTATATATACACAACGCACGTGTGTATATGTATACATATGTCTATATCGTGATAACCCATTTAGGGTAGACATTTGCTCAGTGTCACTGATACTCCAATAGACTTATTATAATTAGGTCTGTTTTCTGAGTATGTGCCTGACTTTTAAAAGAACAAGTAATGGATAGTATTTCAATACAGATTGCTGGATGAAAGAATAGCAGTTTTTGACCCAAATATATAAATTTTTAAGAACTTGATACTAAACTAGATGCTCTGAGTTGGCTCTTCCAAATGGTTTGGAATTGTTACTATGGTTTATTTAAACATACAGCACATTTAAGGGTATATAAATGTTTGGATTCTAAGTATTTTGCTTTTGAGGAGAGTAACCAATGAAAAAGTAAGATTGATTTTTTTTTCTCTTTTGGAAGTTTTTCACTTATTGTTAGTGGCACTTAAAACTATGCAAACTTTTTTTAAGTATATGTAAGAAAAAATTGGCAGTTAAGTGGAAATTGCTTATTTATGCACTACAGAATACAGCAATTGTATTACCGTTGAGGCTGCTTTAGTTTTATCAATGTGAAAAGCAGATCCTTGGCTATAAGTATGCCTGATTGGAGTTTTTAAAACTCTGCAGTAGGGGTATAATGTTCCTACAATCCTTGTAGCAACACAGAAAATAAGGCATTTTTTTGTTTGTTTTAAAGATTATGATGGATTCAGGCAGGGAAGAGTTGGAGCCAGTTATACCTACCTTGTACATAAATGGAAACAATGGTTGGGTATGAAAATGGATAAAAAAAAGTGTTTACAGTTAACTTTATTTCTTGGATTTTTACAAAATGATATTGTATTAATCACTTTTTCTAGTTAAAGAAATTTCAATTCCAGGGTACATACCATTGATTTTCAAAAATTACATTTCCATTCTCAGTACCAGTTTGAAGTAAATGCTCAACATCAGCTATTTGCTATCACTGGGGAAAAAGGCAACTTGAAGTATTTACTGATAAACAGCCTTTCCCCAAGTGTGACTTATTTGCAGTGTCTACATATGTCACATTTGTTTTGTTGAAATATGGATCAAAAATCTCGTGGCATAGAGGTAGGGGAATGTCAGTTTCTCCCTTGTCCTGTTCTGTTACTGCTTTGTTGAACTGACCTATCCTCATAAACCTGTGATCATCACCTAAATGTAAGTTGTGAATGTGTCACCTTTTGCTTGGTTATTTCAACCTTGCTGCTATATATAATCAGGTGTGGCACAGTTAGTTTGGTTCTAGGGGGTGAGTGGGTATTGCACTGTGCTATAAAATGATCCTTGTGTGCTTGCTGTTACCTACTTTTTACAGGCATCATAATAAAAGCTAGACTATTTCTTTGGGGGGAAAGAGACTTATTTAATGTAATTTAAAGACTTTTCCAATAGAAAATGAAAAACTATTGAAAATAATATCTATTTTTTAGCTTTCAGCAATTGATGGTGCTTTGTTGTGGTGTTTGCTGGAAGTCTACTGCCATTATAGGGATTCTCATTAACCTCACTGAGAAAGAACCTTGCTTGTTAGCTTCTCTAGATCTTTATTCTAAACAATCTGTTAGTGATGATAAATTCTGTAGGAGGGTCTATTCTGAGCCGTTAACTTCCTGTAAGGGAAAAATGGGTGGGTTACCAGAAAGACCATTGAAGCAGGGTGGGCTGTGGGTGGAGGGTTGGGTATTTGTCTTGAGAATTAAAAACTACGAAACACTTTTGTACACAACTGATTTTTAAAAAAAAAAAATAAACACATTTTTAAAGATGTTGAATTTTTTTTCCCCCTTACTGGGAATTTTGAAAAATAAATGCATGCGTGTTTTCCCCTTAAAATGTTTTATATCATCTTTCGAAGTACTCATCTGTGAAGAGGAGACAAGTAAACCAGTAGGTGTTCTAGGAAGTGACATAATATATAATGCTGTGAAATATAGTGGGTCTTTGGATTATAAAGTGAATTGAAATTGTTTGAGCCTAGATAAAATTATTTGAAAGCAGACATTTGGTTAGGTTACAATACAAAATTTAAAGTAATCCACAGTTGGTACTAAAGTAATGCTTTTTCGATTTTCATATATGCACACAGTTTTTTTCTGGAAAGGGTACCTATTGCCATGGAAAGAAATTCAGAATATTCTGGGTGACTGTCCTTGGATTTCCCATCTCCATTAACACAATTTGAAAAGGCTGTGTTAAGATTTGTGCTAGGTACTTTACTAGTAAAACTGATTGTTACTTTGTGTCTCTAGGACATTCAAAACCAGCTTTCAGCAGGCCTATGAATTTCTATAGCCTGGGGATGGAAATGCTCCTGACTGGAATAACTGTGAAGTGCTCTTTTCAAGGAGCAAGCTGGACCTTAAAATTCAAGAATAACAAGTGGAATTCAAGTGAGCTCTCAGATACCAGCCTCTGCCAAAAGATGGTCAAATTTAAAGGGTTGTAAACACTTGGTATGTGTTATGTTTTGATCACCAGAGAATTGAAGATTTTAAATAAAATAACATGAGTTCACTAATAACCTTTTAGAATTGTGTCCTACAGTAATACACATTCTACTCATGTATTCGTTTTGTGGTGATGTCTTTCTCCCTCCCCCCACATTCATGGAATTAGAGGATTTTTTTTTTCTGTAAAAGAACAGTGAAGGGGTTTTGCAAGCAAGAGGGAAAACAGTTCAGATTGAGGTGTGCCCAAACCAGGCCTGA